CATAAGATGTAGTTGATTCTTCTCGGTCTCTATATAAAGCACAAAATAAATTTTCTAATGGTATGAACATCGATGATAATTATTACTTGGTTATAACCTTTCCACCTATTTCTCACTACTTGATCAAATAAAATTATTGTTCTCCGGTCCCCATATTACATTTTCATAAATTAATTCGCTTCAATAAAAGTTGAAGAGTTGATCAACCATTCACACCAAATTAGCAAGAATGAAACATACTCTTCATATAGGACAAAATCGTATATGGGAGTATTATTCACCTCATGTACGATTTTACAATCCTTGATTTCCTCAATCTTTCATTAGCAAGAATAAGGCTTCTATTGAAAAATCATACTATTGTTCTTCGTCAAACAAAGAAATATTATACCTTCATTTGTTGTTGCATTTAGTCAAGAGATTTTGTTCTTACGAATAAATTAAAACAATTAATGTTGGTGTTCATGATCTCTTCCAAAAAACATGTTATGCTCTCAGGTTATTGGCAGATGATGATGAGTTGAGTTACCATAGAAGTTGTTTTTATGGAATTAGGTAAGGAATTTGTTTGTAACAATTCTGATTCCCTGCCATGTGTGTAATCTTTGTGGGGAAAATTTGTGAACTATTGAGCAATTATATCCTGCTCCATTGTAGAAGTGAATTAAATTTATCAAATTTGCGGGTTTCTACATATGACATCATATAAATGCTTGATGGAGATGAATAAATTATTGGATAAATATTGAAAATCTTTTGCTGATTCTCAAAGTTTTAATATACCATATGGAGCTATGAGATTAAATTCTCATAATCAAATGATTACCAAGGATATAAATTATAATTCAAAAGATTTAAGGAAAGAATTCAAAAAAATTGTGCAAAATTGAATTCGGATAGAAATAGAGACGATAAAAAATTTCAAGTTGTAAATGAAGAAAACGGAAACGGCTTCTTTGTTGATGGGGTTAGAGGTAGATGGAAAAAAGATGGAAGGTTACTTATTTGAAATTGAGATAAGAAAAGAAAATAGTATTCTGCGTTGCTTCTTCTGGTATTGCAACTTTACTAATGGTTGGAGGTCATACGACTAATACCCAATTTGGCGATTTCATATCCAATAAAATGTGACTCAATCAATACGTCATATTGAACAAGGAAGCAGTTAGCTCAATGGATTCAAAATTCATCTTTTATTATTCGGGATGAAACTCTTATGACCTATAAACATAATATTGAAGCGAGGAATAAAAATTCGAGAGTCATTTTTTATGTGAAACATCCAAAAAGTGAAAACATGATGTTTGGGGGAAATTTTGTTGTGTTTGCTTAATATTTTTGTCAAACATTACCAATAATTACTAAGGGAACCTGAACATATATTATAAATTCTTATTTTATGAGGTTGTATATTATCGTCTACATTCTAAGTTTTGCAACTCTTTCAAAATATGAGAATGAGCCCGAAAATTGTCCCTAAAGAAGTTATTACCGATTGAAGAATCTAGCTAATGAATTTTGGAGAAACGTAATAGAGTGGCTACCAAAAAAAATTCAATCTCGATTCAAACAATTGTAATCGTTATTTTAGCAACTGACAAAATACAACCGGCCAATTGGCCGGGTCCCTAACTAGTAAATATATAGTGCAAATGTTTGCTCCTAGTACGGTAAGCTTGCACTACAGTTTTCTCCATAGATAGAGCTTATAACAACAACAATATCATAGATGAAGGGGGAAACAATTACAGAGCAAATTGTGGTATCGCTAGTTAATAAGGTCATAGGCTCATAGCCCATGGGTACATATAATAGTTTTCAACTTTCTTTTTGACCCTACCACATTACATTATTGCCAAGCCCAACACTAAAGAAGGAAGGCTCTCTCGCAACAAAGAAAGACTTGGTATGGATATTTCTATGCAAAATGCACTAGCGGGTTGGCAAGCTGAGACCTGTCCTTCAGTTATCTGGATAGCTAGATCGAACCGATAATTCATGAAAAGGGCATTAATATAATGCGCCTTTTTCTGCATATTATACGATTTTTGTTTTCTTGCAATGAGTCCTGACCATCCATGAGGAAGTGGGGAAGTGTGGTCTATGGTGAAAAGGCAAAAGAAGGGGGGAAGAGGGTGGGCAAAGGGAAAAGTAGGATGGGAGTAAAGACTCTCGTTTGATTAAAGTGAACAAAACAACCCGCAAATCGACTTATTTGTTCAATTCGATCCAATTCATCTGTATTTATTGTCAAAATTAAAGTTTAAGTTTGAGTGAGGGTTTTCTTTTGTACAACCAGTTTCTATTGGGTTGGGTCCGGATTTTGAGTAACGCAACACATAGAACCCGACCCAACCCGTGTTTAACAATTGTTATAAGTGTTCATATACAACACATATTTGTATCGTAAATAAACATATTGTGAGAAAATTAAGCTATATTATCATATTTTTCTCTTGTGTGGTTTCTCTAGTCTAATACATTCTTCAACTTAATATTGAAACGTAGATTTAATATAAACTATGATTCACTTAATCTTTTTTCTTGTGTGTACAAATTTAGAAGAAGAATATATTATGAATATGTTACCTTATAACTACTCTTAGTTTACTTCGACAAATATTTATGAAAAAAGTAGGTATATGTTGATAAATTGCATTTCATTAAAATCCAAACAATATTTATTCATATTGAAATTTTTTGCCTCCATTTATTTATTTAAAATCTTATTGTAGTGTATAATAGTTGTCTTTTTTGTGTTGGGTTAGATATTTAATTAAAAGTACCTCCAACCCGACCCAACCCAGTTATACACACACTGTAGGACTTTACTTTTTTTGGGCTGAATTGGATTCAATATTTTCAAAACCGTAGTATATCGTTCGGGTGATTAAAATGACCAAACCCGAACCACCCGACCTATGTACACCCCTAATTACATCATGTTCGAACTAAGTAATATAACTCGCAAAAAGCAATTCTTCATTTAATCATTAAGAAAGTTGATTAATACTTTATAATAATTTCCTCATAAATTAGTAAGATTATATCACTTTAGACACTTCTCAATTATGCTTCTGTGAATCCGTTTGCATCAGATTTTTCATTACTCCATCAACCATTTGTGTTGAGAAAATTGAAGCATTTTGCAACTTTAATACAATTAATGTAATAAGCATGCCAATATCTAATGGATATTACACAATATAGTAACCAATAATAGTAGTCCGAAAATAATATTGGTTCTCAACTTTTAGAATTCGATGATTAGTGTGTAGTGCAATTAGAAAATATGATGACTATTCCATTGTATAATCAAGAATCAACTTTTTCATGTGAAAAATATGGTGCAGGGTCCCTGAGTGACCCGCATGCCACCCACCCGAATAAATGCATGTAGAGATTTACCAATCCGCAATCCACCCACATAAATCTTTTGTCCATTATGATTTGGGTTATTTGAGGGTGGATAGATGTCAAACCATGGATTAACCACCCACGTGTCTATCCCTAGCTGTTGTAGGTATTCCCTGCAGTCATGGACAAGGTTATCATGGCTATCCCATTGTTAGTGTCTGTCATAACTCATAAACCAATTGGTCACAATAACTCCAATTGTTAGGAAAGGTTAATTTATGGATCTTATACCATTCATAACACGCTCCGTCAAACGAAAGCCAACTCATATCGACTTGAAATTTGTACAGGTCCAAAATACCATTTGCATAACAAATGGGAGTCACCGGGACCCGAAACAAGTGATCTTTGGCTAGGGGCAATTTTTGAATCTACTTTTGTTTAAAGAAATATGTAACATTTCCACCATTTTTCTCATAAAAATATTGTTCACTTTGCGTCTACTCTTGCACAGCTTTACCTTTAGGGTGCATTATATGACTTCCTGATAGGTCACTCATTTATGCACAGTTCCACTTTGAGTACATATAAATTTAGAATTCTTATAAGAACTCAGAACTCATTCATTTCACCTAAATTGCTTATTCTCCGTTAAAGTTGGATTGTTTTATGATCAAGGATTTCTATCGTGCTTTGTTGATGTGAGATTTAGCTAAGGTGTATATACACCCACTTTGGATCTCGCGTCCTCATTGAGGTTTGCCCCCACCAATGCCCAATAGGGATATGAAGAGCATTTGATACCACTTGTAAAATCCTCACATTTTTACTGATCAAGATATTGTTTGCTTTGGCCTTAGCCACACACATCTTTGCTTTTGGGATGCATCATGATGACTTCCTAACTTTGTCCCTCATTTATACACAAGCATGCTTAACTTCAGCTTTCTTATAAGAACTTCCCCATTACACCCCACAAATGCATCTTATCAATTTAAGTTGGATCGTTTCTAATGAATCATGGATCTCTCTCGTGCCTTCTCAATGTGAGATTTTGATAAGGTGTTATATACCTCAAGGACAAAGTAGCTCTGATACCATACAACAAACCAACTGGTCCTAATAACTTGAGTTTTGAGGTGACCTTAGACAAATTCCACATCAACAAAGTACGGTAGAGATCTATAATTAATAACAAACATCTAAATTTTAACCGAGTGTGAACTGGACGAGTTATTGTAAGAACTCAAAAGTCTAACAGTGAATAAAATAAACAACGTATTGACAAATCATCATAATTTCGATATTATCCAAAAGCAAAATTATAGAAGGTAGACCAAAGGCAACAATGTTGGTAAAAAAGGTATGGTGATTAGTGATTACATAATCTGTTCAACTTTCCATTAATTTTTTATTTTTGTCACCCACTCACCCTTCTCACCGCCCTTACCAAAATTGACTGTGACTCGAGTCGACTCTCACACGTATGATTGAAAACAGAGGAGACAGCAGCCAGCAATTGAGCCAAAGAGAAGCAGATGCCTCTCTCTCTCTCTGTCTCTCCCTTTCCGTTTCCGCCCTTCCTCCTCCACCGCTCTCTTTCCAGTTTCCCTCCCCCTTCTATAAATTCAAAACGCCACCCCTTTCCATCTTCCCCCAACTTTCATTCTTCACCCAACTCCTCTCTCTCTCTCTCTCTCTCTCTCCCCAACCTTTTCAATAAGTGCCCTCTCTTTCTCTCTCTACCCAAACAGAAAATCCACCACCGCAGAACACCACATTAATAACAAACAAAATCCCACAAATGGGCGTCAACTCCAGCGACCGACCCGACGGGTACCGGCCGGAACCCACGAAACAGGCCGCCGTCGCCCCCACCGCCGCCACCCCCATCCCGTCCCCCGATCAGGAGCAGCGCCACCACGACGTCTGCCTGCCGCCGCACATGACCACGCTCCAGAAACTGAAGAAGCGGCTCGCCGAGGTCTTCTTCCCCGACGATCCCCTCCACCGCTTCAAGAACCAGACCGGGCCCCGCAAGCTCCTATTGGGCCTCCAGTTCGTCTTCCCCGTCTTCCAGTGGGCCTCCCAATACGACCTCGCCCTCCTCCGCTCCGACGCCGTCTCCGGCCTCACCATCGCCAGCCTCGCCATCCCTCAGGCCAGTCCCACTCCCCCCTAAACTAACCAATCGAATTATCGTAAATATGATTAATTAATTAATTAATTAATTTTCTTCTTATCCCCCAAGATATACTTTACCAAAAGTAAATTAATAATTTACCTAAAATAATTTATTTTGCTAATTGTTGGGTCTATATGTGATGATGCTTATTCCCATCCGATGGTAATGCCCGCTAATCTAAAAGCGGAAGTAGTGCTGATGATAGTGACATTTTGTTACACCTAAATGTTGTACATTTCCCTAACACTGTCCCAATCGGAAGCCTACTCATTTCGTTACTACGTTGATGGATACAAGCATCACCAAGTATCCATGTGCTACGATGCTAGATAAATCGGGTTATTAATACGAGATCTTTTCATTAGGATATTGCAAAAACCGATTTATCTCGATAACTTGAATTATTAAGAGATCGTAAAAAAAAATTTGGATCTATCAACGTACAGATATTCCCTTTTCCTTCCCATCTATCTCCACATGCACATAAATTTCGGGTACAGTGGATATCTGTCTTATACGTTCGTTTTTCAGGATTACTGACAAAAAGGGATAATTAGGCTATCTTTTTGCTTGTTTTATCCGTTCGTGTCTGTCTCCTGGGGGAACGTTTTATCAGGAAAAAACGAAAATCTCGCTGTATTTATTTATTTATTTTTCTCTAATACAGTAAGTTTTTATTAATTAATTGTAAAACCCACTAATACGCTACCATTGTCACTCTGTTACAGGGAATCAGTTATGCGAAGCTGGCGAATTTACCGCCAATTGTTGGGCTATGTGAGCATCCAATTCCGCCACCATTGATTTCAATTTAATTTACTTTCCCTCCCTTTTGACTTTCCATTGTCCGCCATTGATGAAAGTGAAGTGAACAGTTAGGGGGAAAAGGGTTTCTAATTTTTTTTTTTTTGTTTGCTTCTGTTTTGGTGGCAGACTCGAGCTTCGTGCCGCCATTGATATACGCGCTGCTGGGGAGCTCAAAGCACCTGGCAGTGGGTCCAGTCTCCATAGCCTCGCTAGTAATGGGTTCGATGCTCAGCGAAGAAATCTCGCCGACTCACGACCCGATTCTGTACCTGAAGTTGGCCTTCACTTCCACCTTCTTCGCTGGGCTCTTCCAGGCCTCACTCGGCCTGCTCCGGCTGGGTTTCATCATCGATTTCCTCTCCAAAGCGACTCTCGTCGGGTTCACCGCCGGCGCCGCCATCATCGTCTCGCTCCAGCAGCTGAAAGGGCTTCTGGGTATCGTTCATTTCACGGGGAAGATGCAGTTCGTCCCTGTTATGTCCTCTGTTTTCCATCAGAGAGATGAGGTTGGTTGGTGAATTGAATTGTTATTCAATGGGTTCAGTTTTTTAGGGATAATGAGATCAGACGGTCAATTTAATGACATGAGAATTTAATTTTTTTGTTGGTGTGGGCAGTGGAAGTGGCAAACGATTGTGATGGGCTTCAGTTTCTTGCTCTTTCTCCTGACAGCAAGGCATATTGTAAGTCAAATTGAAAATGACTTTCTTATCTTTTTTTTGTTTTTTTTGTCAATGGAGTCCTAATTTTGATGAATGGGGAACTGTGAATGATGCCAGAGCATGAAAAGGCCAAAGCTTTTCTGGGTTTCTGCTGCTGCACCATTAACATCAGTCATGATCTCAACCATTCTAGTCTTCTGCCTGAAATCCAAGCTCCATGGAGTCTCAGTTGTAAGTCTACTTCCCCCGACTATGAATTGCTTTCTTTTGTTTGTATGATGTCGATCTGTGGTCTTGACTTTCAGTTTTGGTGTTCAATTAGATTGGTCATCTACCAAAGGGATTGAATCCGCCATCAGCGAACATGCTCAATTTCTCTGCTTCTTACTTGGGGCTCGCCATCAAAACCGGGATCATCACTGGAATCTTGTCTCTCACCGTGAGTTTCTTTGCTCCACAAATAAAGTTTTCTCTTGCCCAACAGGTGTTGATGAATGGTTTCTTGGACAGGAAGGAATCGCAGTAGGGAGGACATTTGCTGCTATGAAAAACTACCAAGTCGATGGGAACAAAGAAATGATGGCGATCGGTCTGATGAACATAGCAGGTTCTTGTTCATCTTGCTACGTGACAACGGGATCGTTCTCTCGATCTGCAGTGAACTACAATGCTGGAGCTCGGACAGCAGTCTCCAACATAATCATGGCTGCAGCTGTGCTGGTTACACTCCTGTTTCTGATGCCGTTGTTTTACTACACTCCCAACGTCATCCTGGCAGCCATTATCATAACGGCAGTGATAGGACTCATCGATTACCAGGCTGCAGTCCGGTTATGGAAGGTCGATAAACTCGACTTCATGGCCTGCTTGTGCTCCTTCCTTGGAGTTCTCTTCATTTCAGTCCCCCTAGGACTTGCCATAGCAGTAAGAATCTAACAAACTTTCTTTGGCCTTATCTTTCTTGCTTGCTGTTGATCCTGAAACCCCATTGACATATGGCTGCACTTTTGTTGCCAGGTTGGAGTTTCGATATTCAAAGTTCTGCTACATGTTACAAGGCCAAACACTCTGGTGATGGGGAACCTACCAGGAACTCATGTATACCAGAACATCAGAAGATACAGACAGGCTCTAAGAGTTCCGTCGTTTCTAATTCTCGCGGTCGAGTCTCCTATTTACTTTGCCAATTGTACATACCTACAAGAAAGGTTTGTGCATATGATCTCATGATTATCATACCATGAAAGGTTTGTCCCAAGTCAGTTCCTTCCTTACTGATGGCTAGAATTTTGTGTGGCTGCAGGGTAATGAGATGCATAAGAGAGGAAGAGGAGTGGATACAAGAGAACGGTGGCAGCATGTTGAAGTGCATAATCCTGGACATGACAGGCAATCACTCGAAACCTTATTAGCCCACATTTTCCTTGTCGCCATTTCTCATATGATGGGGAATCATGAGTCAAAACTCTTATGTTCTTTCTTTCTATTTTGCAGCTGTGACAGCAATAGACACAAGCGGGATTGAGTTTGTGAGCGAACTGAGGAAGACGCTAGAGAAGAGATCGATTCAGCTCGTGCTTGTGAATCCAGCAGGGAGCGTGATGGAGAAGCTACATCAGTCTGAAGTGTTGGAGGCTTTTGGGGTGAATGGGGTGTATCTTACTGTTTCAGATGCTGTTTCTGATATTTCTGCACTGTGGAAATCAGAGGCATAGATGCAAATTACAGAGACCCTTCAAGCTGAAGGAGTGAGAAATTGATATTAGGCAACAACCCAATTGGAAAGACTTCCCTTAGACAACAGCCCTTTTTTGTAAGCTTAGGGTTGATGCCTCTCTTTTCAGCATAGTATATGAGACTATGCTTAGTGTTGTATCTTTTTCTAGTGTACTCCCTTTCTCTCTCTCATCTCATGTCAGTCTCTATATTAATGATAATAGAAATCTAATCATCAATTTTGGATACTTCTTTTCATTTTGTCACTCCAATCACATATAGTGGACTATAACAAACCAAAGGTTATGAACCACCCAAGTGGTTGATTGTTATGCTACTCAATTGATCAAATACCTTCTCTTTTCTTTGGGTGGATCATCAGATGCTTTAGAATAATGTGAATGTTGTAATTTGTATGGAGAACGGAAAAAAAGGCACATATAAAGAAATGAGGTGCATGCAACAGAAGTACATATGTGGAATCAATTACAATTAGCATTAATCCTTCAAAAACATTACAATTAGCATTAATATCTATACATCCCAAGTCCATGTGTTGATTCAAGTGGTTATATGTGTTGTGTAATTGCTCATTTACGCGTTTGTTATTATTGGATCAATTATGCTATGGTTTACTACATCCGGTGTAGGCGGTTTGGTTCCGCCTTCGTTCCGAAAAAACGTCGTTTGCTACCTCGAACGAGCAATTTTTCGGCCATAACTTTATGCTCCGCAATCCGAACGTAATGAACTTTGCGGCTTGTAAGATCTCAAAAAATTATGCGGAATAAAAAAAAAATTCGCTACGATCGGATAACTGAGCTCAAAGTTACGTTCGTTGAAAGTTTCAACGTAGGTCAGGCCTTCACCGCGTTTCTCGACCGCGATGACGCCTTCACCGCGTTCCTTCATCGAGGTGATGCGTCGATGCATGTGTTCACCGCATTCGTCAACTATAATGATATCCAAACATGTGTAGATTGAGAATTTTCATAAAACGTATGTATTTTTGTATTTTTGGGGTTGGACAATAAAATGCTTCTACAAATTGTTCTTCTTAACCGGGGGGAATGAAGAACCACCAATCGAAAGACATCAATGCATACATCCACCTTTATCAAACATTCTACCCAAAGTTGATCGTGCAAAGGGGAAAGAACCCATTGCATGAATGGAAGTGACCCTTATCAACACAAAAAAAAAAAAAAAAAAAAAAGGTGTCCTTTTACCTCCACCGTCCACCTACTGATGACATGTGTGTGATAATCCCAGAACCAAGACAAAATGGGATAAGATAGAAGCTGATGATGAACAAGTGAGAGTTTCCTTTCTTTCAACCACCCTCATTATGAGTTCTTCTGAGCCACAAAGAATTGTTCTTTACTCCTTGAAATGGAACACTCACTTTATAGCCAGAGGAAGTGGCAATTGGATGAGGACCATCATGATTTTGGGGTTTTGGCACAGATAATGGACGTCCCATTCCCAATATGGGTGTAGCATACTCTCTGGTTTGGGCTTATAATTGTGGTACTAACAGGAAGGCGTGTGTAACTCAGACTTGGGGACATCTTAGTCACATTGGATCAAGGAGCACTATTAGCCCCGACTCCGAAAGCTAAGATCACGCTCAGCAGTCAGCACCACACAATGGAGGGCTGAGTGCACGTAAAAGGCTTGCTATCTGCACCACAACTAAATCGGCGCTGCTAAGGGACCATCCCTCAGCTCGAGTGCAGAAAAGCACACCACCGACCACCATAGATTACAGGCATCATCAGAGGCGTCGGTCAGATTGGCACGAGGCATTTCGGAACTTCGAATACATCCACAGTCCCCCCACGGTTCGAATTGTTTCTACACATGCGGTATAGTAGCGTTCCTCCCTCATCAAGAGATACTGGAGGAGCTAGTGTGCTAACATTTTATTTTTTTTGTTAGCATAGTGCTAATACTAGCTACAACAAATAGGGATGGCAACAAAACCCGAATCCACGGGTACCCACCCGGCCCAAAACCCCAACCCGGTCAACACGGGTAAAACCCGTGTTGACGGGTTTTGGGCCGGGTTCGGGTTTAAACCCACTACACTATTCATCGGGTCGGGTCGGGTTTGAGTTTAGGTAAATCCGGCCCATGGGTACTCGCCCACACACATATAATTACTTTCCCGGTATATTTAATATTCTAAATAATATATCTTCCTTAAACAACTAATATTCTTTATGTTTATGGAGACATGTATAATTTGTTCGTTTAGAATGAAGTTGATATTATGAAGTGGAGAGTGAAGAAACTTAGTTGAAGATAAAGAAGCCTTCAATTAATCTTATTATTTATAGATGTTTATCTTTATTGAACAATTTGTATTGATCATTTGCGGTTTGCTTGTATGCTCTAGATTGGTGTTTTTGTATGAATAATTTGTATTAGAAAATTTATGTTAAACTTTTATTTTGAAAGAAACTTGTTATTGTAAATTTTTTACCACAAAAACCCACGGGTACCCATGAACACGCGGATACCCAGCGGGTTGGGTTTGAGTTTTTCAAACCCAGCGGGTTTTACCCCGGGTTTTTTTGGCGGATAAACCCATGGATTTGGGTTTGGGTTTGACAAAACCCGCCCCAACCTGACCCATTGCCATCCCTAACAGCAAATAGAACCATTTCGTTTAGATGCATTTTTAGTTTAAATGAGTTGCCATAATTAATGACGCTTGATATTATGAAAAATTGAGGGAAGGGAGATTCACGTGTTTCTTGGGCAATTAAATGGGGGAAGAGGTGGGGAAACACAAAATCTACACCACAAAATCTAGACCACAAGTTTATTAAACAAACCACAAGTCTTACAAAAGCACACTACAAGTTTATTAATAGTGGACCTATTTGTAAATTTTTAAAAATTTATGTACCAAAATGTAAGAATAAAAATATTTAGGTCCGAAAATGTAATTTGGCATTGATTTTTTAGGACTTATATGTAAAAAAAAATTATTTAAGTACTAAAGCACACCACAAGTAACCATATCACAAGCTCTGTAAAGCACACCACAAGTATCTATATCACAAGCAACCACAAGTTTATCTAGGCAAACCAAAAGTTTTCTAAAACACACCAGAACCCTGACAAAGCAAACCACAAGTCCACTGAAGCACACAAAAAATCTCATAAAGCAATCCACAAGTTTATTCAGACAAGCCACAAGTGTTCTAAACCACCAGAACCCTCACAAAGCAGACCACAAATCCACTCAAGCACACTAGAAGCCTCACAAAGCAAACGACAAGTTTATTCAAGCAACCACAAGTTTATTTAAGCAAACTATACATTTTCTAAAACCACACCAGAACCCCGACAAAGCAGACCATAAGTCCACTGAAGAATACCAGAAACTTCATAAAGCAGGCCACAAGTTTATTAAAGCAACCACTAGTTTATTAAAGAAATCTCATAATGCATACCACAAACCTCATAGAATGTTCTTTTTCATGAATATTTTGAGGACTTATTTCGAAAAAAATAATTTAGAACACTAAATATTAAAAAAAACTATTAAATTTAGGTACCAAACTATAATTTGTATACGAAACTCTACTAAAATAAACGTAAAGCAATTGAGGAAGGAGGAGAAATTGGGGAAGGGAAGAGAATGGGACGGAGGAAGGAAGAGGGATTAGTTACAATTATACCTTTTTCGCGAACCAGTTTATACTAATAATTCGAGTCATTAAATTTTTTATTTGTGCACATTTTGAATATAGTAATACAATGCGGTTCACAAAATGGGGTTATTGGGATTGAACAAAAGACCTAGCATCGATCAAAGTATGAGATCCTAAACTTGAAGGATCGGTTGTTGGGATTGAGCAAAAAAACCTAGCATCGATCAAAGTATGAGGTTTTAAATTTGAGAGATCACACTAAAGTCTATGTATCTAATGAATTTTTTGCCCCATTTCTTTGTCAAGTGGGATCATTAGTCCCCCTATCCTCAACCCCTTCCCTCGTCTCTCAAGCTATTATACTATTTTAAAAATCAATTAATCATAATAACTCGAATTGTTAAAGAAGATTAAATAATAAATTTTATACCACACACTAACCTTTAATTTCATGTTGATACTTTCTAGGCTTTCCCCATCTTCATACAGAGGTCTAGAGTGCGAAAACTGTGACCGAAAGCTATTAGGGTGCGTTTGGATATGTGTATTTAAATGTGAGGTATGTTAAATGTTCTTAAAATGCGTGCATTTGAAATACATGTAATTCAAATTCGTCGTTTGGATACTTATTTGTATTTTAAATTCCATGATTTTTTATTTTAATTTTGAACTTTTTGGTCACTTACTACAAATTTTGATAAATTATAGTTTGGAACCCAAATTTATTTTTCTTTACAATTTAGTACCTAAACTTTTAAAATTTTACAAAAAGTCCAAAAATTTTGATGGTAAAATTATGTTTTGATACCTTTATATGTTTTGTCTCACAATACAGTACCTAAACTTTTAATATTTTACACATATAGTACCGAAAATTATGTTTTGATACTGTTTGTGTCTGGAATGTGCCAAGCGGTTTGTGAGACTCTACTGGCCTTGGGCGGCTTCGATGGTCGAGGGCGGTCTCCGAAACCCTGCAGAAAGGTCCTCAGGGGGTTCCTGGGACCTCCTCCGATGCCTAAGTTAGAGAGAGAAGTGAAGTATGAGTAAATAAGAGAGAGAATGAGTTGGTCGAAGTTACCATTAATGTGATCCGAGGTGGGTATTTATACTAGCGAGGGCCGGGGATCATGGCATTTAATGCCATGTCGGGCGGTTCGGGACCGCCTGATCCCTGATCCGCTGAGACTGTCAGGTTTGTACTTCTGTCAGTCTTCGTACAAAGTGTTCAGAGGTCACCCTTCCTCTCCTGTCGGGCGGTTCTCTGAGGTCCCGTTGGGGGAATGTCGGACGTCCTTCCGGGTCAGTTGCCTCGAGGCAGACCGCCCCTCGCGTCCATTTGGGCTGGACTTGGTTGTTTGGTGGGCTTCTAGGCGATTCATGGGCTTGGGGCCCATAAGTCTTAACCGCTGGCCTAACATTTGCCCCTTAGGCGTGAGAGGCTTTAGGCTCTTGCGGCTAATCGTCCTTTGCCCTTTGAAGCGGTTTAGGGCTGTCTTGCCCATGGCTGCCTGTCCTGCCCCTGGCCGCGAGGG